TTAGCTGAAATTTGATATTTATGATCATTGCATATTGGGGTGTTGCTGTGGTGGGACAGACTATCAGTGATGTTCCATCTTAAAGTTTAATTATATGTAGTGAGCAATCTGCTGATACTGAATACCCAGTAGACCTAGATGGTTAGTTTATGCTATTGTTTGTTGATAGAAACTTTCAGTGTAAAAGAATCCAGTTTGTCTGCTGTTTCTGATATCCTGCCATGCACCATCTAGTAGCTGTTGTATTTTATTACATTGTGTTTCAAGCTTATTCTGAATCACATTATATCTAAGAGTTTGAAAATTAGTTTTAATTATGCCCAACTTATGGTTTAAGTGGTAATTGATTTATTCTTGGTATTTCTGCCAGTTGTCTCGTTCCTCACGACAAAAACATTCAGGGTCACTACAGAGGAACTGGGATGCATGAAATAACCACACAAAAGACAGAGATACCTTATTCTTTGGGGGTCCTGTGACGGCTCCTCTGACCTTAAGGGTCCACAGAAAGACAGCAAGGAAGTGCATGCTGAACTCTTTTATTGAAGAGAGGCCATTCAAATAAGGCAAGGGGTCAGGTGTCAGGGGGTTGAGTCTAGCTTCGTGGTGTCTGCTGACAGCAGGTTGACTAACATCTAGGAAGGCCACACCCAAAGGCAGAGCAAGAGAACGGACACACAAAGGTGTTTCCATGGAACAGTCTATGCCAAACAGGGCAAAGGGGTAATATCTACAAAGGAACAGATGAGAGTAATTCGATCCCTGGGGCTGCAGGAAGGCACACCTATGCCTGAAGACACATCCTGCTACTTAGGGGAACGGGGCAATATCGAGGTCACTATGAAAGTGATGAAAGTGACCAAAAGAGCCTCTTTCCATCACAGGAAGGAGAATGCCAGTCTTTCAGGGAGACTGCCTCCCACAGCCAGTCTTCCTGTTTTTATTATACGGCATAAACTTATTTCCTGAATGGGCTAATTCAAGATTGGAAATTCTTTTACTTCATTAGTACATTGTGGTGGCTCTCAGTTATACTTTTTATTTCATTCCTTGAATTCTTTAAAATTCTTTAATGGCAAGATTTCTGCTTCATTCTTTTTTTGTATCTCTTGAATATCTCCTTCAGATGATAAATTGTTTTGCTTCTTTCATTGAATTTTTTTGGCCATGTTCTCATGTATCATGCTGAGTTTTCTTAATGTCATTATTTTGAATTCCTTGTAATGCATTGCACAAATTTTCTTTTCTTTGGGGTTTGTTACTGAAAAATTATGATGTTTCCCTGGAAGTGTCATTTTCCTTGCTTTTTGTGTTGCTTGTGTTCCTACATTGATATCTGTGCAACTAATGCAAGGAATGCCTTTCCAATGTTATGGTAGTGTTTTCCCCACTGTAGGGAGAAATTATTTTTCCTGTGGAAGGTGCTAGAATATTGGTTGGGTGTGCTGGGGTTACCCCTGATTTTGGGTGGGCTCAGTAGTGTGGTCTCTGTGTCTTCAATTGCACAACTCATTATCATTGTCTAGTTGCCTCCAAGGTTTGGGCTGTAGGTGCTCATGACTGTAGTGGTATTATTGGTTTTATTGAATTGGACAATTGGTATTGGAAAGAAGCTTATTGGTTTTATTGATCTTTTCATCTTTTGGCCTTGTTGACTTTCTCTATTGATTTCCTGTTTTCAAGAACTCATAAGAGTTTTTGCTCCCCCCCTTTTTTTTTGCTCTTTTTTTCTTCAAGCAGAAGATTTAATTTGTTCTTCTTTTTCTAGTTTTCTAACATAGAAGCTTAGATGCTTGATTTTAGACCTTTTTTCTTTTCTAACGTGCATTTGGGCTATAAATAGCTCATAAACACTGCTTTCTTAAGCATTCTACAACTTTTTCTAGGTTATGTTTTTATTTATTTAAAAATATTTTTAAGTTTTGTGATTTCTTTTTTGGCCCATATATTATTTAGAAGTGTGCTATTCCATGTCCACATATTTTGGAACTATCTCCCCCCACCCCGCTATTGATTCTAGTTAATTCCATTGTATTTTGAAAGAAGTTCTTATATGATTTCTTTGAAATTTATTAAGATATATTTTACAGCCCAGAATTTATTCTGTTTTGGTGAATGTGAACTTGAGTAGAATGTGTATTCTTTGGTGGATGAAGTAGTTTATGTAGTATATGATTAAGGATGCTGTTGAGTTCACCTGTCCTCATTTTATGCCCAATGAATCTTACCTTTTTTTTTTTTTGTATTAGGGATTGAACCCAGGAGTGTTTAACCACTGAGCCACATCCCCAGCTCTTTTCATTTTGACACATCGTCTCACTAAGTTGCTAAGGCTGGCTTCGAACTTGTGATCTTCCTACCTCAGCCTCTGCAGCTACTAGGATTACAGGGATGCATCACCATGCCCAGCTGAATCTGAACATGTTGAAGTTTTCAAATATGATAGCATATTCATCTATTTCTCCTTGCAGTTCTATCAGTTTTTGTCTATTTTTGTTTTGAATTCTGATGTTAAATTTGGCTACCCCAGCTTTCTTTCCTTTTTTTTTTTTGAGAGAGAATTTTTTAATATTTATTTTTTAGGTTTTTTTGGCGGACACAACATCTTTGTTTGTATGTGGTGCTGAGGATCAAACCTGGGCCATACGCATGCCAGGCGAGCACACTACCACTTGAGCCACATCCTCAGCCCCCAGCTTTCTTTTTCTTTTTATCCATTTATTTTTTTTTTTTTTTTGTGCTGGGGATTGAACTCAGGGGCACTGGGTCACTGAGCCATAGCCTCAGCCCTATTTTGTATTTTATTTAGGGACAGGGTCTCACTGAGTTGCTTAGCACAGCACTTTAGCTGAGGCTAGCTTTAAACTTGCAATCATCCTGCTTCAGCCACCTGAGTTGCTGGGATTACAGTCTTGTGCCCAGCTTCACCCATTTACTTTATATTTTATTCATTTATTTTTTATGTGGTGCTGAGGATCGAATCCAGTGTCTTACATTTTCTAGGCAAGCACTCTACCACTGATCCACAGCCTCTCATCCATTTACTGTTAATCTATATATGTCTTTATAGTTAAAGTGATTTCTAAAAGCTGGGCACTGATGTGCATGCATATGATCCCAGATACTCAGGAGGCAGACACTTGAGGATTGTGTGTTTGAGCCCAGCCTGGCTGACATAGTGAGACTCTGTCTCAAAATTAAATTAAAATTAAAAGTAGGTTTCTTTTGGATAGGTTTTTGGTTTTAGGTTTCTTTTGCATTTTTTACCTCTGGTCTTACACCACACTAAACACAGACTTGTGATGCCAGGTGTGTGGGGATTTCCTCCCCACCAGCAAGTAAGCAATAAATTCTGCAGTGGTCACCAGCATGGCCTCTAATCTAACTCAGTTCATACTCTCTTTTCCTGGAAACCTATTAGTTCCAGGAGGTTTTTTTTTTTAAAATCAATCCTTTGTTATCTTCTCCACAGGCAAACATCTCATTTTTCAAACAAAGTTTGGTTCTTTTTTATGACTAGTGAGTATCTCAAACTTCCTCCCTTACTTCAGATGCCAGCCACAAGCTCCAGATGGTTTTACCTGTGCTTCTGAATGAACAATTGTGAACTGGGGTTCCTACAACCCTCCTTGGGTTCAATTAATTTTCTTGAATGACTTACAAAACTTGGAAACACATTTACTGGGTTATTGAAGAGGAAATTATAAATAATAAAAGAGATGCATGTGATGAGGTATCAGGGAAGGACACAGAGCCCTCTCTGGGGCACCACCCTCCAGGAATATCCACATGTTCAGATATCTGTAAGCTTCTCAAATGCTGTGCTTTTGGAGTTTATGGAGATTTCATTATAAAGGCACGATTGCTAATAGACTTTGTGGGGAAACCCAACAGACCTGTATATTCATATTCTTCTTGGCTTTCTGTGGAGCTGCCCTCCTTCTAGGGTAAGGGATAGGACCCGTGTTCCCAACTCACGAATATTCCTTTATCTTAAAATATACATTCTGGTTCACTTTTTATTTGCTTACATTATTTTTTAATATTTTCCTACTACGAATTATGTGGGCCAAGCTCATCCTCAAATACCTTCCATTGGACCTGACAAATGATTTCTGGGCTCAGGAGAGCGCTAAAATATTAACAGACTGGGCCTTAAGATTTCTTGCTCAAAAAAATATTCCCTATTTCCATCAATCCTGGACTGTATCCTCCAGTTCCTTATGCAATCCTAATCAAATCCCCCACTCAAAAGACCCACCTGAACTCAAAAAATTTTCAATAATTCCCAACCTTACATTGGCAGCCCCGACACTTAGCCCCGTCACGATGCCAATGCTGGGGAGGTGGTGCTCTCTTAATACAGGAGATGATTCCTTGAGCCTTGATCTTATCAACGGGTTGTAATGTTGGTCTTTGGGGAGCCGGTATTCAGCACGAGTGTTCTTACTTTCGGAGTCCAGCGCAGCTCAGCCTGCCATTCAAGTTTCTCATTCTCGTTTGCTTCCCCTAAAAACCGTGGATTTGAAACTGACTTTCATCATGTCAGCTTTGCTCTTCTCCCTCCCGCTCTCTCTTCCTTCCTCCTCAGTATTAGGGGTGGAACAGGAGCACTCTACCAGCCCTTTCTAGTTTTAATTTCACAGTCTTGCCATGCCATCCAGGCTGGCCTTGAACTTGCAGTCCTGCCTCAGCTTTGGAGTAGCTGGGATTATTACCTCCACACACACAACTGTTTTCGCATGAGCTTTAAGAAACGGACAACAAAAAGGAATCAGCCAGAGACGTGAATAACCCCAAACCCAACTCGCTTGAGTCAAACAGATACCCGTAAGGCGCAGCGCTGTCCTGCCAATGTTCTGGGAAGTATAGTTCTGGAGGAGCGTGATGCCAGGCATTCCGCCTAGGGATTCTGGGAAGTGTAGTCCCGGAAATACGTTTTCCAAGCACTTCCGCTTAGGGATTCTGGGAAGTGTAGTTCTGGAGGTGTGTGATGCTAGTTGCTTCTGCTTCTGGGAAATGGAGTCCAGGGACTGTGGGCGGGAGGAGGCACTTCCGCTCCCAGAAGGCGAGGTCGGTTCCGCGATTGCTCTGGGGGAGGTGAGCCAGCGGCGGGTCCCTGCGACCTCTCCAAGCCCTCTCAGTCTGGGCTTGAGGCCAGCGGTGACCTGGTCCGCGGCCTGGATAAAAGAAGCCAGCAAGGAGGGCGGGGTTGGGAAGCGGCGGCGTTTTGCGTCCTCGGGGGCAGAGCTTCCGGTGTTGGGGGTGGGCTTGTGCGTGCATCAGTTTGAGGGTCTTCTGTGCCCTCTGCTGCCACAAACCGCCTCACCCACACCGCCGGACGTGCTTGTTCCTTGCAGTAAAGTGCTGGGCAAGTTAATCTCGTCTTATCTCAGTTTCCTTATGGCTTTAAAGGTTAAAAGCCTGCCCAGTGGTGTTTTGCAAGAGTTCAGTGAATTTTTTTACGTATATAAAATGCTTAAAAACATTTTCATGTTGCATGCTCTCCCTCTGTTGTAATACTCAGAGTGGTTCCGGTTTGGAAATTCCTCTGAGTCCAGGGTGGAGTGGGAGCTCCACACGCAGAGCCACTGTTCCCTTTCAGATCCTTGCCAGATATGGGGTTCTGGGTTTCCCGATCTCATTTTAAGAAGGAGTAGCGGATTGCTTCCAGTAGGAGCATGGAGAATGCCCTCTGTGTTTAATGAGACAGAGAAACTGTCATGCTCTGATTTCCGCTTTGCAAGGTGACTCCTTTAATAAGTGTTACAAAACACCATTTCTTAGAGAGTTGTAAGTTTTCGTTGATCATTACCTTCATGCAGATGAAAAGAGACTTTGGTGAGGTTCTTCCAGCTTAATAACTTGCAAAGAGATTTACCTATTAGAGGTAAAAAAAAAATGTTGACAATTTAGTTACTATTATTGATGGAACAGATTGTGAGACAACTGGCCACAATTACAGACTTTTCTGAGGGTAGTGATTACTCACATGACAGTGATCACTCAATTCTGAGTTTCCTTAAAGATTCACTTTTTGAAAAGCACATTGCCATGGCAGTTTTATGAAGCATAATAGTGCTTGCTTGTCTGAAGCTATAGGAAATAGCATCTGAATATTATTATCCCTATTTACAGGTGTACAGGTGACCGAGGTGAGGCACAGAGACATTCATAACTTGCTTAAGCTTTACACTGCTGTCTGTAGAAGATAAGTACAAATGTCAGAATTTGAATCCATTATGTTACCCTGTGTGTCTGCTTCCCATTTTTAGATACCCAGGTTCAGAGGTGCTCAGCGTGCTAGGAACCGCATCTGGGTTAGGACTGTAATATGGATGGTTAATGAGCAAAGTCAACTGTCCGTAGCTGGCTCCTGGCTCCTGTTCTCTTCACTAACCTATGTGCAACTGTGTCCCCTGCAGAAAGGGGCACTTCTTTCTCACATGAAGTGCTTGTGAACTAACTGCACCCCTAGCACTCTCTCATGATGTCTTTCCTTTTGCAGAACTCTGCATTTTCCCAGAAGGAAGAGGAGAACAATGACCAAGATCCAGGTCAGTGGGGTTGGCCTTTCTGTTTGTTAAAATGACATCTCCTTTCACAAAGATCAGACATACTTTTATCTTGTTTGGGAAGGGTCAGAGAGCACCAGGCACACTTGAGGGATTGTTATATGCCAGGATCCTGCCTTTTATTTCCAAATATTAGTGTAAAAACTAACAGGTTTTTTCCCAAATGAAAAGCAATTCCTACTGAAGCCCACTCTGGGCCCAGCTGACATGTTCATGGCCTAAGCCAGGTGTTTCAGATGTTCCTTTCTGGTGAATGAAGAACCAGAAGAAGTGGGAGTTCTCCATTCAGGAACCTAAGGCCATACTGCATGTGTGCCTGGCACATCCACATGGACGAAGGGCTCCAAATGTAGCATTGCCCTTCACCTGGTCCCCTTTCTTACTGCCTTGCTCAGGTGTCACACCGGTCATTTATTACGTAGGTGTTGAGAATCCCAAAACAAATGCAGAAATAAGCAAAATCTTTAGAAATTTCCATGAAGAAAAGCACTATATACAAAGTTATGGGACAAGTAATAAATAGGGATGGAAATGTGAAATTGTACATGCCTGAAAGAGGTTTAATATTCTTGGTAGGAATCTTCCTGATGCACAGTATACTCCAGAATGACTGAGCAAAGTAGATGAATAGACAATATGTGAACAAGTCTTTTTTTAATTAAATAAATGGAAGTTTTTAAAAAGAATTGTTTTATCACTTACCAAATTACCCAACATTTAAAAAATGAGGTAATGTTCAGTTTGGGCCAGAATCGAGAAGCTTCAGGATTTATGATCTCTTACAGGACAAGTTATTTGGGAAAATTGCTGTTATATTAGCAAAATAAAAGTGCAATTTTTTTTTTGACAGTGCAGTTACCACTCTTTGGAACTTATTCTAAAGAAATAACCAGACAAGTTTGGCTGAGACCTATGTAAAAACCTGATTTTGTAGAATCATTTATAGTTTTTAAATTTTAAGTTTTCAAATTGTACATTATCTGGAAAGACCAAATACACACAAAGTCTTCAGTTTTTGGTGCAACAATGAATATGATGAAATGGATGAAAATGATAATACTGATGATTGACATTTGTACATCAAGAATTCCCCTAAGTCCTTCACATGGTTTCACTCATCCCTTCAGGGGCCTAATGATGTAGGTACTGTTCTACAGATGAGCAAACTGAAGTATCTCAATACTTTAAAAACTTCTCAAAGTTAGATGACTTGTCCAAGTCACAAAGCAGATAGAGGACAGAGCCTTTGAATGTGAGCTGAGGCCGTTGGTTTCCAGAGCCTGTGCTCTTAACCTTGGTCCTGAATGCAGCTGCAGTTGACAGATATAGCCTGTTCCTGGGAAGACAGAACTAGTTACACACCTGCCCCAGAGGGTTACAGAGTGCCTGTTAGATTGGCAACAAAAGAGTGATAAGGTTGACTGTCCTTTATCCAAAATACTTGGGACCAGATTTCAAAGATCTTTGGAATATCTGCATAGATTTCTCTGGTTGAGCATCTAATAAAAAACCCAGAGTACTCCAAAATCTAAAACTTTTTAAGTAATATTGTTGCTTGGAAAATGTCAGATTTCAGAGCATTTGGGATTGTGGGATGTGGTGTGTTCAACCTGTACTGCCCAGAGAGAGAAGGAAATAGTTCCTATCAGATGCTATTGGTACAAAATATACACAAACTTTTTGACAAGATTTGGTACTCTCAGATTGTAACATGTAGGAACATCGTGATTTAACAAAGGCAGTTACTGTAGGGACTTAACTATGTGAAGGGCAACAAGTTACATGTACCAGGAGTTTTCTTTTTTTACCTGACAGCCCCCAGCCTTTTGGGTATGATTGTGGAAGGAAAATAACAGGAACTCACTTAAAGTGTTTCTCAGGTCCCAGTGGCCAGTGAGTGTAAGATTGAGGGTACATGTGCTTGATGTTATAGGAGGCAGTAACATTCAAGGACGTGGCTGTGGTCTTCAGTGAGGAGGAGCTGAGGCTGCTGGACTCTGCCCAGAGGAAGCTGTACCGAGATGTGATGCTGGAGAACTTCAGGAACCTGCTCTCAGTGGGTGAGGACAGGTGCCTGTGTAATTGGCATCAACCCTTTGAGCAGGGTTCTCGATCTTGGCACTGTTGATATTTGGGGCTGGATAATTCTTTGTTGTGGGGGTGAGCCTGTGCACTTTAGACTATTTAGTAGCATCTCTGACCTCTGCCCATGATAGTTTAAAGAGTAGAACTCCTCAGAAATCAGTTTTCCAGTTCTTTTGGAAAGTAGAGATAAGGTATTGCTGATGTTTGTTCTAAGGCAAACTTATCTTTTATAAATGAATTAGAAATGAGCAGTTGAGCTTAGGCTGCTTCTGGGTCTTTATTTCTTATCGATGGATCATGAAATTTAGTGAGTTGTGTCACATTTGTGTAATGAGAGGGTAACAGTGTCGGAGCTCCTTGGCGAGAATGCAGCATGTTGTAGCAATAGCTGTAGATGCCAGCAGTAGGGGACACAGGGCTGGCAGGGAAGTGATGGAAAGAGGCCCAGGGCTGGGGTTATGGCTCAGTGGTAGAGCGCTCAACTAGCACATGTGAGGCCCTGGGTTCGATCCTCAGCACCACATAAAAATAAATAATAAAATAAAGGTATTGTGTACAACCCCAAAAGTAAATATTGAAAAAAGAGAGAGAAAAAGAGAAAGGCACTGGTTAGAAACTGAGTATTAATTCTTTTATCTCAACAGTGTGTATAAAGTATTTCTAATGATGGTAAATATTTCTTACCCTGTGTCGTGATAGAAATGTTTGATAGATGCTGCTGAGAGGTGGGCAGGCAGAGCCTACAGTATGGGATCAGAAACAGAGTTTTTCAGAACTTTTGGCCTTAAATATTTTCACTTAAATCATCTTTTCACAGGACATCAGTCCTTCAAACCAGATGTGATATCCCAGTTGGAGCGAGAGGAAAAGCTCTGGATGGAGGAGATCCACACTCACCCAGGTAGGCTCTCAGATGCGAGCTGCAGCTGGAGTCATGGTGGGCCCATGTTCTGCCTCCATTTGGTATGATTTCTTCTCCACCCTCCACCAGAGAGACCTTAAACCTGTCACACCACACCACTCTCCTCTTCAGACCCCCAAAGGCTCTCATTCCACCAGTAAGATCCAGCCTTTGTACGGGGCTTGTACGGCTAAGGAAGGTTTGCTCATTCCCATTACTTTACCATTCTCCATTTTCCTCCTGTGATCTCCCTCCTTGTTTATCTCTGCTGCCCTTGTTGGTTCAGATATGATCATTATGGTTCTGCATCAGAGCCTTTCCTTTTTCTCTGGCTAGAATGTGTTTATCCAATAAACCTCCAACCCCTCTTTCTGTCCCTCCCTCCCTCTTCCATCCCTCCCTCCCTCCCTCCTTCTTTCCTCTACTGAGGATTGAACCCAGGGGTGCTCCACCATTGAGCTACACCCCCAGCCCTATTTGTATTTTGAGACAGCGTCTCCTATATTGCCCAGGCTGGCCTTGAACTTGTGATCTCCTGCTTCAGCCCCTTTCTTATTTCATTGGTATCTGCTCAGAAGTCTTCATGAGAGGCCTGCTCTGATCAGCCTGCTAAAAGTGCTATCTTCCCCTCCCTCTCCATGGCAGCTTGCCTCAGTTTGTGTCTAAGCACTGTGCCACCAAACTAGCTAACATGTTTGTTTTTAGTTGTAAAATATATCACATAAGCTTGAGCATTTTAACCATTTTTTGGCATACTGTTGCACTAAGTACATTCACATTATTGTGCAGCCATGATAACATCCATCTCCAGAACTTTCCACTATTCCAGACTGAAATTCTGTACCCATTAAGCAATGACTCCCTGTTCTTCCTATCCCTCCAGCCCCTATTCTGCCTTCTACCTCTATTAAGTACTACTCGAAGTACTTCATGTAAGTGGAATCATGTATTTGTCCTTCTGTGTCTTTTTTCAGTATGTTATCCCCAGGGTTCATCTATGTTGTAGCATGCATTGGAATTTCCTTCTTAAGGCAAAGTAACATTCAACTGTGGTCTGTACCGCATTTTCTTTTCCCATCCACCTGATGGACATTTGGGTTGTTTTCACCTTTGGTCTCTTGTTGAATAATGCTGCTGTGAACGTTGGTATACATGTCTGTTTACCTTCCTACCTTCCTTTCTTGTACGTTGATAACCAAGAAGCAGAATTGCTGGGTCTTATGATAAGTCTGTGTTTAATTGTGAGAAATAGTTAGTTTTCCCCAACAGCTGCCTCTTTTTACATTGCTACACCAGTGCACAGGGATTCTGATTTCTCCACATTCTTGCCAATACTTGTTTTATTTTTAAATAATCATCCCGATGGGGTCAAGTGGTATCTCATTGGGGTTTTGAGTTGCATTTCCCTAATGATTACTGATATTGAGCATCTCATGCTTATTGGACTTTTGTGTTTCTTCTTTGGAGAAATGTCTATTCTAGTCCTTTGCCTATTTATTTTTAAATCTTTCTTTTTTTATTGTTGTTAAGTTTTAGGAGTTCTCTGTTTTTTTTTTTAATTGAGTTCTGTTTTAGACTGGATTTTAATCCCTTATCATATACATGATTTGCAGATCTTTTCTCTTGTTGTGTTTGTTGCCTTTTTAACTATTTTGGTAGTGGTTTTTGAACAAAAGTTTTAATTTTTGTGGACTCCAGTTTTTTTTTCTTTTGTTGACCCTGTGTTTGTTTTCATATCCAAAATATTGTTTGTAAATCCAAGGTCGTGAGGCTATTTCCATGTTTTCTTCTAAGAGTGGTACAGTTTTAAATCTACATTTAGGTCTTTGCATTTTGAGTTGACTTTTGTACATGGTATAAGATAGGTTTTTTGATTTGTGTTGTTTTGCAAAAGCACTTTACCCCTAGGCTTATCTTCATTTTTTGCATGTGAATTTCCAGTTACTGCACAACCATTTACTGAATTTGTTGAAAGAAAAAATTGTCCTTTTGCCATTTATTTGTCCTACCAGCTTTATCAAACACCATTTGACGGAAAGTGTGAGGCCTGTTTCTAGGCTCTTATTTCATTAGTTAGTAGGTGTTTTTGTATGTGTGTGTGGGAAGGTATACCAGGGGTGAAACCCAGAGGTGCTTAACCACTGAACCACATCCCCAGCTCTTTTTATTTTGAGACAGGGTCTTGCAAACTTGTGGAGGCTGGCTTTGAACTTGCGATTCTCCTGCCTCAGTGTCCCAAGCTGCTGGGATTACAGGTGTGCGCCACCGTACCTTGTCTTTATGTATTTATGTCTTTATGCTAGTACTACATTTTGATTATGATAGCTTTGAAACCAGGAAGTATGCATTTTTTCTTCTTATTAAAATTGTTTTGCTATTTAGGTTCCTTGAGAGTCTATAAAAAATTTTAGGGTGAGTTTATCTATTTCTGCAGGGAAAAAATATGATTTTAGTGAGGATTTTTATAGGGATCTCATGCAATGTGCAGATTACTTTAAGTAGAAGTGATAATATTAAATCTAATCTATGAAAATAAGAGGTCTTTCCATTTGTTGATGTCTTTCTTAATCTCTTTCATCAAGTAGTTTCTGGTGTACAAGTCTCTTACCTCCTTAGTTAATTCTTGTGTATTTTATTCTTTTTGATGCCATTGTAAATGAGATTTTTTTTATAGTTTGTTGTTATAATGTAGAAACAGCTGTTTTAGGGTGTTTTGTATCCTGCTACTTTGTTAAATTGATTTATTCTATCAGCTTGTGCATGTGTGTAATCTTTATGATTTTCTACATATGTCATCTATAAACAGTAAAAAATTTACTTCTTCCTTTCTAATTTAGATGCCTTTTTTGTTTTCTTGCCTAACTACTCTGGTCATATTACATTCAATGTAGAAAGCATGCATCCTTGCCTTGTACTGATCCTAGAGGAAAAGCTTTTATTCTTTCAACATTGAATATGTTTGCTGTGGGGTTTTTCATTTATAACTTTTATTATGTTGAGGTGGTTCTGTTCCTGATTTGTTAAATGTTTTTATCATGAAAGGATTTTTAATTTTGTTATGTATTTTTCCCACATCAATTTAGAGGATCATATAGTTTTCCCCCTTTGTTCTGTTCATTTTGTATATTACGTTGATTTTCATGTTAAACCATCATTACATTCCATGAGTAAAACCCATTGTTGTTTCTGGGCATGTGTAGAGACTGAGAGTGTGTGTGTGTGTGTGTGTGTGTGTGTGTGTGTTCATTCTTCCAACTCCTCCACACACTGGGAAATTAGATCTTTAGAACCAGAGTCAGATCCCATGTCAGGGCCTGAAGGGTTCTGTCAACACATCGCCTCTGTTCCCTCGCTGGGCCTCTTGGTCCCCCTGCAGCTATCCTGGCCAGTGCTCACTGTGCTTTCTCGTGCATTTTCTCATCCTTAATCTGCATTGGACCCCAACAGACCAGCCTTCATGTAGCTCACATGATGTTAGAGGAACTTCTCTGCTCCCTCCAGTTTGGGGGTAGGTACTGGATCCCTGCTTCCTTCACCATGACACACAATAAATAAAAATGCATTGAGAAGTGGCTTTGTAAACTGGAAAATGGGAAAGGCACACACAGGTGCAGAGAAGCACATGCTCAGAGGAGAGGAAAACTCAGGTCTGGCCCCGGCTGACCATGGATTTCATGCCATTTTAAGCGTGGTTCCTTCTTGATTCAGCATTCTCCTTATCTCTGTAGGCCTTTGTTTTCCAGAGCGCCTATACCGTGACTGCAGCAAGTCTTCAGTGTTTTAATGTTCACAGAGGGGAAAGAGGGCTCGGAGCTCCCCAGTCCCCATCATTGCTGCTGGCACTTTCTGTCCTTAACTCCTCTTTGCCCTTTCAGGAGGCAGGAATCAAAGCAGGGTGGAGAGTCGTCATGAAGCAGGATGGAAGTGCCTTTCCTTGGGAGAGCTTTCATGCTGGCAAATCGGGAGACATGTTGTGAACGGAATGACTGAAAGTCAAGACTGCGGGATAGACAGTCAAGGGAGGTGCTGTCAGTTCCCCAAGCAGTGCGGGGTCTCCTGCCACGTGGGAGTGGGAGAGCCCGTCCAGGAAGCTCGGGAGGATGGCTCTCTTGTGAATCTCCTTGGGGATCATCCCATTATTGAAAACCAGGGGTTTCCAACTGGAAGAGCGCAGAGTTCTTGGAGTGAACTGTGTTGCAGTGAGACACAGAACCATCAGAAAAGTTGTAAACAGATGAAAAACAGACTGTGTCTGTTTGCCCCCCATGTTGACGTTTTCAGTTGCAGTTCACACCGCCACAGTGATGCGGGGCAGGACAGGGCGAAGGCTTCCCCTCTGACTGAGCATAGCCTTCACCCAGGGCGGAAAACTCAGCAGACGGCTGGACATGAGGAAGCCTCCGGGCACAGTCCCAGTCCTGGGCGTCAGCAGGTCCTCTTTGGAAAGAAGCCTCTGGCACGGAGCGTTCATGGGGCCGAGCCCTCGGGTGTTCCTGCACTGCAGACCGTCCACACGGGAAAGAAGCGCTACTGGTGTCAGGAGTGTGGCAAGGGTTTCAGCCAGAGCTCCAACCTGCAGACCCATCAGCGGGTCCACACTGGGGAGAAGCCCTACACCTGCCCCGAGTGTGGCAAGAGCTTTAACCAGAGCTCACACCTGTACGCCCACTTGCCTACCCACACGGGAGAGAAGCCCTACCGGTGTGAGAGCTGCGGGAAGGGCTTCAGCCGCAGCACGGACCTCAACATCCACTGCCGCGTCCACACCGGGGAGAAGCCGTACAAGTGTGAGGTGTGCGGGAAGGGCTTCACCCAGAGGTCCCACCTCCAGGCCCACGAGAGGATCCACACAGGGGAGAAGCCATATAAATGCGGGGACTGCGGGAAGCGCTTCAGCTGTAGCTCCAACCTTCACACCCACCAGCGGGTGCACACGGAGGAAAAGCCGTACAGGTGCGAGCAGTGCGGCAAGTGCTTCAGCCTGAGCTTCAACCTCCACAGCCATCAGCGCGTCCACACCGGGGAGAAGCCGTACAAATGCGACGAGTGCGGCAAGGGCTTCAGCTCGGCCTCAAGTTTCCAGAGCCACCAGAGGGTCCACACAGGGGAGAAGCCATTCCGCTGCAACGTGTGTGGGAAGGGCTTCAGCCAGAGCTCGTATTTCCAGGCCCACCAGCGGGTGCACACTGGAGAGAAGCCGTACAAGTGCGAGGTGTGTGGGAAGCGCTTCAACTGGAGCCTGAACCTGCACAATCATCAGCGCGTCCACACCGGGGAGAAGCCCTATAAGTGTGAGGAGTGTGGCAAGGGCTTCAGCCAGGCCTCCAACCTTCAGGCCCACCAGAGCGTGCACACTGGGGAAAAGCCCTTCAAGTGCGTGGCGTGCCAGAAGCGGTTCAGCCAGGCCTCGCACCTGCAGGCCCACCAGAGAGTCCACACCGGAGAGAAGCCCTACAAATGCGACACCTGCGGCAAGGCCTTCAGCCAGAGGTCAAACCTCCAAGTCCACCAGATAATCCACACCGGGGAGAAGCCCTTTAAGTGCGAGGAGTGCGGGAAGGAGTTCAGCTGGAGCGCGGGGCTCAGCGCCCACCAGAGGGTGCACACGGGAGAGAAGCCCTACACCTGCCAGCAGTGCGGGAAGGGCTTCAGCCAGGCCTCCCACTTCCACACGCACCAGAGGGTCCACACGGGCGAGAGGCCGTACATCTGCCACGTCTGCTGCAAGGGCTTCAGCCAGAGGTCGCACCTTGTCTACCACCAGAGGGTCCACGCTGGAGGGAGTCTGTAGAGGAGACAAGGTGGTGTCACCCTCAGGTGGCTCCTTCAGAACAGAAGCTTCGAAGAATCTTCACAGGAAAGCAGCTCTCTAAAATGCCATTTTAAGGAGTCAGGCAATAAATTCTTCACAAATGTCAGAGTTCGCAGATGAAGAAGCACTTCTATAGATAAGATCAGTGTTTAAACCAGCGTTCCAAAGTGTCACCATTTGTGACAAAGAATCTTGATGTTTGATAGTCTTCTAGGAAAGAGATTCATGAATGAGGACTATGGGTAGGACTTTGATAAAAGAATGATGATTGACAAAATTTGATGTCAACTAAAGTGTAACTTCCACATGGGAAGACCTTCTCCCCAGGTCTCTGCCATGCAGAGCTGTGGTTGGCTCCAATAGGAGAAAAATTTATTTGAAAAGTGAGTCCCTGTCCTAAATTCATACTAATTTATATGCATAAGGACTCCTATAAGTAGCCTTAATAATAGTTTCCAGAATTGTTGAAGTGCAGAGCGTTATTCAATATCACCATCCACAGGACACATGTAGACAAGCCTCGCGACTGCCCCCTCCGACACCCAGCCTATTCTTTGTTCAGTGTGTCAGTTTTGTACAGTATAAATTTTAGTGACATTTGTATTTTATAGACTAAAAAATGCTTTTAATTTAATCTAACAAGACATGACAATTTACATGATTGGAAGTGTGGGGCACTAATTTATCAAGGTAGAGCTTGACTCTTAACTCCTTGAGTAGTAGTTACTGATGACAAAAAGTTTCTAAGTAAACTTGAGTTTTTAATTGGCTTCTTCTCATTCTTTCCGTCCAGGCTTAGGTCAGCTCCTGTTTCTGTGTAGTTCTTGATCGGGGCCCTGAGGCTTTGGCAGTGGTTTAGCCTCTTCGTTCTGCTCTATAGGATTCCTGAGACTGGGTAATCGATAAGGAGCAGATTCCTTAGAGTTCTGGAGTCTAGGAAATCCAAGATCCAGGGACCAGCATATGGCGAGGGCTTCTGAGTGCATCCTCTCAGCAGCAGGGAGGGTAGGAGAGGGGATGTGGGCCACTCCCAGGACGTAACAGCTTGGATCTGTTTGTGACTCGATCACCTCCTAAAGGCTCCTCTCACCACTTGTATTAGGGAATAGGATTTCAAGACAGACTCTAGGGGACATGTTCAAACCATAGCCGGCAAATTTTTATTAAATGTAATGAGTTTGGTGGATTTCCATTTCCACATTTTCACAGCATTCTGTGTGCACTTGTCACTATGAGTGAACAACGTAAGTTTTGAAAGACTGGGCGGCCAGTATGTACCAGAAAGCCCTTTTTGCTTAAGAGATTGTTCACAAAGATAGCCTGAGTTTTTTAAAGTAGGACAGTAGTAAATGGTTTGGATAAATCTTGTGTGTTAATTGCAGCCGTTAAAGACAATGACATGAAAAGAACACAGATTTTTAATGAGAAAGGTTACAGCCTCCCTGGTGTGATCCAGTCAGTGGAAATGTGTGTCACTGAAGGTGATTGAGGGCATGAGGAGAATGTGCAGAAGAACATGCATCAACTTGCTATCAGTGGCTTACTCTGGCAGGGGGCAGTGGGATGATTTTTGTCTAACTTCAAAAACTTGTTTACAGTAAACTATTAGCAGTTTTACCAAAGCTGTGAAACCAAATAATGCAAAAAGGACAATCTCTTTCAGCAAAATCTTAGTTTTGTTACTTTACCTCATGGCATGTAAACCTGTGCTACAGGGGTCCATAAGAGAATGTTCATTGTAGGTAACAGCAAACTTTCCATCCATCGACTGGATTGCCAGCACTCCTGCAGCAGAATACTGTGCAGAAGGAAGTCACAGAAGGTAAATTTATGATTACTGACATTGGTAGATACCCAGAATATGTTTAGAAAAATAGTCAGAGACAGGATTTTGTATGATCATGTGCATATGTGAGTGCACATCTATATACCTACACACAATATATATGATCTTGATACTTTTAAAGGTAATAGTATTTTCTTTTACTTGTAATTTCTAAATATGCTTTAAAAACTTTTATGAACATAGAAGATTCAAGAATTATACAAAGAATTCCATATATTTTTGGAGTCTAGCATAACTGCAATCAGACCTGTTGATTCACATGTTGAGTGTCTGAGCTCAAAGGACTCTCTTTGATGCAGGGGACACAAGACTAAATCAGTCAGAGTCACTCCAAGTGAATTTGGGCTGACTAAATAAAGACACACACACACACAGAAAGTACCTTTTTCTTTGGGTTCGGTGACCGCTCCTCAGCCACAGCTCCCACAAGGGGGGCAAGGCAGGCAAGAAAGAGAGGGAACACACCTCAAACCCGAGTTTTATTGGAGAGAAGCCATTCAAATGAGGCAAGGGGTAGGGTTACAACAAACAGTGGGTGTAATCCAGCGCCCACTCCTGGAGTTGCTCCTCTCTTATCTGAGCGGAGGTAAGGCCCAATTGCAGAGCAGTGGGTGCAATACCAGTTCAGTAGCTCTTTACGCTGGACTTAAAGGTGTGTACAAAGTTCCTGTCCAGAGCGGCTCCCCACATTTTGGTGTTGCATCACACAACTAAAGTGAATTTGGGGAATAATAAAGACAGACAGAAAGTACCTTTTCTTTGGGTTCAGTGACCGCTCCTCAGTTGCAGCTCCCACAAGGTGGGGAAAGGCAGGCGAGAAAGACCAAGGAGCACCAGCACATGCTGAACCCTTCTATTGGGGAGAAGCCATTCAAATGAGGCAAGGGGTCAGGTTTCAGGGTTGAGTCTAGCTTCATGAGGTCTTGCTGTCAGCAGGTTGACTGACATCTAGGAAGGCCACAACCATCTCATGAGCTATGTGGGGGTCATGGCAGAGCAAGTAAAAAGACCAGAGCAAGGCCCCCAAAACAGGGGCAACTTTGGTTCAGTCCACTTTGCGTGCTCAGTGCCCATAGTTCTCACACACACACACACACACACACACACACACACACGGCCCATGGCTGGCTTGCCACAGCCCCACATTCTCATTGCTCAAAGCTACGGTGCACTCAATACCCACATGGCAGCTCCAGACATTTTGGTATTTTTCAGAAAGTCTATCATGTGGCATCTGCAGCATTGACTTCACAGTAACTGGACATCACACTGTGACCCAAAGCCACAACGCTTTCCTGAAGAAAGCTCACACAAATACTGTGGCCTTTTCTATTTGTCCTTGGAAGATGCCCCTTGTGCCTCAGCCAGTGCACTATGGGGTCATGAGGAGGAGAAATTCTAAACACATTATAGGACCACTATGTGTTGATGATAATGTTTCCTATTCTAAGTTTATTCAAATTAGACAAGTGCCCCATATGTGCACAGCACTGTTTTAGGATCTGATCTAGATTGTCCATACCCTGCAATTTAGTTTTCATGTTTGTCTTTAATCTGGATCAGTACCATAGCTTTTTGGTCTTTCATGAAGTGGACATTGCTGAAGAGTACAGGCTAGTTATTCTGAAGAACATCCCTAAATTTGGGTTTGAGTCTTCATGATTAGATACAAGGTAAGCGTGTGTGGCCCAAGTAACCCATGAATGATGTATCACAACAGGAAATGTGTTGGCTTCATCGGTGATCCTAGTTTTGATGACTTGAATAAACTGGTGACTGCCAGGTTTCTCCGTTCCTGTTTTGACTTTGAAAGTAGTATTTTATGGGGAGATCTCTGTATTTTGTAACGACCCCATTAGTTTTTGTCTTAGTGTTTGCTGATTCTTGCCTGAATCAATTATTACTGTAAAGACTACGAGTAGTGACTTTTGTATTCCATCACTTTTTCTGTATTTAGCAATGGCTTCCTATTGTCAGTATGAGCCCTTGTTTTATGGCACAATAAAAAAAAATCTTGGATATTCCCTGCCCCAGATTCTGGAGAGATTATCTAGAGAGCTCAATTTCTTTCAGTGAGGACTGGTATAACCAAGCTCTTGGTCTCCTGTGTACTCATCATTGAGATTTCAGGGTTATGTGTAAACTACTGATACCTCCAATATCAAGTAACTATTGCACAGTTCTTCTTGTCTTCTCCACCTCCATACTGACTTCTATTTTCCAAGAGGCAGAAACAGGTCCCCAATGTCATCAATATGTTACTCATTTGTTTAGGCGTCCAGTGTACAGCAGATAGGTTTAGAATTACTAAATATTATTGCAAAAGACAAGTTTTGGTAGTATTCAAGTATTGTTTGCAGAAATTTTTAAAATCATTAGACCAGCTATGTATGGACAAGGACCTTGTTGTAGTTATTTAATCTAATTATTTTTGTGCTCATAGTCTGTGGGAAGCTGTCTTGCTGAATGATTCGTATTCTCCTTCCCATGATCAGAGAGGCTCTGTCGGTCACTTTTGTAGTGATCTGGACATTGCCCCGATCCTCAAGGTAGAGGATGTATCTTCAGGCGTAGGCGTGCTGTCCTGCAGCCCCTTGGTCAAATTACACTCACCTGTCCTTGTAACCCTGCCCTTCCTGACCTTTTTTGGATGGAACTTTCTAAGAATGAGGGTCCCCCCAATAAAAGATCACTTCCAAAACTGCTCACTCTCTCTGACTTTCCTCACTCTCCCATTTGAGGAGCTTGAGGCTGAGAGTGGAGGAACCCTCCTGAAGCTTGGTTTAAAGGTAAAGTGTGTCTGTGTTTTATTTGGTGTCCCAGGAAATTCACACCAGCGACCCGTAGTTCAGCTGCCCATGCAGGTTGGGGGCAGCAATATTCATTTTTATATCCTTATATTTAGACAGATTTTTGTTAAATAATTTAATTAGAAGAAATACTGACATCCATCTTCTCTCTCACACCTTTAGCACGAGGCCTGGAAATGGGATGTCTTTGTTTTCTCGAAGTCTGCTTCCCTGGCATGGATATTCATGTCAAACTGCCCACTGCCCACTGCCCTTCTCCATCCAGTCATCAACAATCTGACTCTCCCTTCTCCTCCCTGACAGATTTTCTCTCCACACTCAGTCTCTCCCTCTGCCACTACTCTTATCACAGGACTTGCAGGGTACAACATCTAAAACCTGGCCTCTCGGTCCCTGGCCACCATACACTGTCATCTCACTTTCAAACAAATGAAATTCTGCAATTGCCACTTCCCTCTTGGAGCTCACCTCTTTCGTTCTTATTTTTTTTTAAAAGCCCCTTTGAACTCAGAAGCATATGGCATCCATCATCTGCCACCTCTTCACTCTACCACTGTGTGTCCTCTTGACCAACCTCCCCCCGTAAGCCTGGAAAGGCCAGCAAGGTCCCGGTTACCCAGAACTGCATCTTATGTGAAATGCTAGCAAGAAGGAAAGTTGGTCATATATTTTTCCAGTGATTATAGAAAAGGCAGAGAAGAGACAGTTGGGCCAGAGTGTTTGCTGGATGATGCGAGGTATGCTGTGTGGTTCAGATCAGTTGTGGCCTGCACACATTTTGTGCCTGCTAGTGCCAATACCAGGTCTGTCTTCAGAATGCTACAGGAGTGAGGAGAAGGAGGCTACAGTGTAACGGCAACCCTCCTGGGTTTTTAAAATTTTGTAACAATTGATCAAATCTGAAATTGGTCATCTGTGAGACAGTTCTTGAATCGGCATGAGATGGTTGGGAAGCCTGTAAAAAGCAAAAGAGGAGTGTGGTAGAAGCATTTTCAATGCTTTTATATGGGGTTCCATTCCAATAAGTCGTTCTTGTTACACTGAAATTTCAGCAGATACCAACTTTATGTAAACTCTAGACTAAATACTAGAATACTTGATAAGCTTACCTATCTTCTATATTTTAAAATATATTTGTCGGTGTGTATCCAATGGCCCTGGAGAATGAGCAAGTGCAGGCAGATCCCATGGGTGGTTTCAGCACTGACGGGAGTGAATGACAGAGTTTTCTGCTTTTTATGTACTGGGAGCAAGTCCCAATTGGCAAAACTGAAGGTAACTAAAACTCTGAGGGGAAATCTGCAGTTTTCCAACTGAAAAAGACTCAGAAGAGTTCAAGCAAATATGATGGAAAGTTTGGTAGTGAGAAGACCCTGGGAAGAAGAGAACCAAAGGGAGGAATTCCCAAAATGTGGGTACAAATGCCACCACATATCTAGCTAGCACATACCTTGGCTAGCAAACAGAACAGACTTTAATCAAAACAATGTGAAGAACCTAATTGAGATTTAAACTGCCACACAGGGGAAGCAGTTTCAGTCTGAGGCCAGCTGATTTAAGTATCAAATATTATAAGAATGAAAATCAGTACTCTTTGGAGGAATATTATAGAACTCAGATATTCTCAGTATAATAATCACAATTTCCAGGCTATGATCCAAAATTACTGACCCAGGGAAAAACAGAAAAACATGACCATTATCAGGGGAAATAAATCAATGAATATCAACCTTCAGAATCCAGATGGAATTAAGAGGCAAAGATTTTTCTTTAATTTTTGTTTAAAGGAACTGGGTTTTTTAAACTTTTGTTTAAAAGACCTGCAGGTCTCAGACTACCCTCAAAGAGGCAGTTGTCCACTGATGCTTTAGCAAAGACTTTTGCAAAGCTGCCATAACTGTGCTTTCAATGAAAGGGAAAAGATTATTATAATGAAGAAAATATTACTGAAGAAATAGAAACTAGTGGCTCAGGAGGCTGAGGCAGGAGGATCATAGGTTCAAAGCCAGCCTCAGTAACTCAGCAAGGCCCTAAGCAACTCAGTGAGACTCTTTCACTATATAAAATATGAAAAAGGGGTGGAAGATAGGGCTCAATAGGGCTTAGTGGTTAAGCACCCCTGGGTTAAATTCTCAGTATCAAAAAATAAATAAATAAATATAATACTTTCTGTGATCCCTGCAGCTAAACCCTAAATCCCAGGCACGGTCCATGTTTCCACTAAATGCTCTTCTCTAAATAAGTGGTTCTCATTTAGGAAAAGCCTACTTGTTGGTATTGCAGCATCATTACCATAACTTCTCATTCTCTGATTTCTGATTATACATTCTGAACATGCTGCGTTCCAAAAGACATAGTTTTACTGCCACAAACAAAGAGCACATAATTTTAATCCTGCCCCAATAAGAAATACATTCGATGAAATTGCCAAACTCCATTTTATTCAGCATGTATTTCACAGGGATAGAGAAAGATATGGGGTAGGGAGTTTGACAAATATCATTCTAATTTTGCATAGTTCTGACCTAAGAAGATGGATTTTTAAAAAAGCTACAGCACCAGAGACAATCATGTCAAACCCTGCCTAGAAGTGCAGAGAACCACAAGTCATGATCAATTCAGGATTAACGAACTACATTAGAGCCTTTCAAAGTGTTACTGTAAATCTTGAACTAACAGTGCTGAAAATTTAATTGTGAAATAATCAGTGGTATGTTATTGCAGTTAACAAAACCTTTCAGGCTGTAGTATGAAAAAAAATTCAAAAGATTCAGACACTGGGGAGAAGCCAGGAGGCAAATGTAATAATATCCAAAATAGTGCTCTCAATTGCAGCTCTAGTTGCATTCTGCCTTTTAATTCATGTTTGTTCTTCAAGTTATTTTCTGCAGGTTTCCTCTTCTTGATACAATTTTCAAATATTGTATGTTTTCTATTTTTGATCCATTAATAAACAGGTGCTGAACACACCTACCAAGTGCTAATCAATGTTAAAGTTGTGGAGATTCAGTAGCAAAGTCCCTGCCCTCAGGGACATGTCTAGTAGACATATGGGAATCATTATACCTAACCAACTTATTTTTCCTAAGGGCTATCTTTGAATGATGACTATAATTGTCAAACTTCTGAATGAAACCCTTACTTCACCACTTACAAGGGTGCTCCACTATGTGGTCCTGAGACCACTGGGACATGCTGAGCTGGGGTGAAATATTTCTTTTTTTTTTTTTAAAGGGTTTGTGCAAGCTCTGTGTATTATTTCTTTTTTTAATATTTATTTTTCAGTTTTTGGTGGACACAACATCTTTGTTTGTATGTGGTGCTGAGGATCGAACCTGGGCTGCTCGCATGCCAGGCGAGCGTGCTACTGCTTGAGCCACATCCCCAGCCCATGAAACATTTCTTAATGAATGTTTTCCCTTGTAAACTTCCTCGGATAACATTTTTCACCAGCATGGATTCTTTGATGAAGTAAAGGTATGAATTTAAACTGAGTGTTATCACCTTCACCCCCATTTATGAGGTTTCTAATGAGACTAGTTATAAAGACTGACTAAAGACTTCACCGCAGGTTGGGGTTGTAGCTCAGTGGTAGAGCACTTGCCTAGCATGTGTGAGGCACTGGGTTCAACTCTCAGCACTGCATAAATAAATATAATAAAGGCCCACTGACAACTAAAAGTATATATATTAAAAAAACAACAAACAAACAAAACATCACCACATGCATCTCATTTCCAAGGTAATTATCAGGGGTTGGGGGGTGCTCTAATGCAGTTGAAATCTTAGGGATGACCAAAGCAATTACCTCACTCTCCATATCTGCTTGGCTTCTCTCCTGTGTGGGCCTTATAACACAAATCAAGATTCAAGCTCCACTTTCCACAGTCCTTGATTTCTAAGGCATTTCTCTACTGTGGACTTTCTCTTGGTCTTTAATGTATGATGTGTGTCCAAAGCTCTTCCCACAGTCTTCACAATTGCATGGTTCTGCTATTGTGGAGTCTCTAATGGGTCAAATGAGTTGAGGCCTAGCTGAAGCTCTTCCCACACTCCTCACACTTTCATAACTTTTCCCCATTATGGACTCTCTGATGGAAAGGAAGTTGTGAATTCTGAGTAAATCTCTTCCCACACAGCTCATATTTGAATTGTTTGTCTCTACTGTAGAGACTCTGATGTGTCAACAGACTGGAGTCCCAGAAATACCTCTTCCCACATTCCTTATTAGCATAGGGCCTTTCTCCTGTGTGGATTCTCCTATGCATGTCTAGACTACACTTCTAGTTGCAGCACTTACCTCATTCCTAACATCGGTAGGGCTTTTCTCTGGAGTGCACCCTCAGATGGCAATGAAGATATGAATTCTGAGTAAAGCTCTTCCCACACTTTTCACACTTGAATGGTTTTTCTCCTCTGTGGACTCGCTGATGGTTCAAAAGGTAGGAGGACCATCTAAACCTCTTCCCACATTCTTCACAATTATAGGGTTTCTCTCCTGTGTGAACCATCTGATGCTTATAAAGCTCTCGCCTATCAATGAAATTATTCCCACACTCCTTACATTTGTATTGCTTCTCTCTTGTATGGACCATGTAGTGTCTATTAAGGGCTGATTTCCGACGAAACCTCTTACCACATGTGTCACATCTGAATGGTTTCTCTCCTGTATGCACCAAGAAATGCCTGTGAAGTGTTGATTTAACACAGAAGTTCTTACCACATACGTCACACTTGAATGGTTTTTCCCCAGAGTGGATTCTCTGATGTTCCTGCAGCTGTGAATAATGAATGAAGGCCTGCCCACATTCCTCACATTTGTAAGGTTTCTCTCTTGTGTGTAATTTGCAGTGAACATTAAGTACAGATTTACGACTGAAGCCTTTCCCACACTGCTCACATTTGAATGGTTTCTCTACAGTGTGCACATTCTGATAAGTTTGCAGCAAGGAGGATCTCTGACTCAATTCCTTTCCACACTCATCATACTTATAGCAATTCAGTCCCATGTGAGTTCTCTGGTGAATACGAAGGCCTGGGCTACAACTGAAGCTTTTTCCACACTCAAGACCTCTATGAGACTTGCCTCCTGAGTATAACCATTGAAGGTCAAAGTTGGAGACATCACTGAGGGACTGCTTACATTCATCATCCAGGTAAACTTCCTTTCTTGTGTCAATTAGAGATAATCCTGGCCCGTCCTGGCACAGTGAGTCACCTTGGCTGGGGAACTGAGAGCTATGAATACTTGAGTCTTGACTGAAGGTTGAGTCACTTGCAATTTGTTCCCAGATTTGCTGCCAAGATAACTCTTCATGTGGTCCTGCTTCTGGAAAAGTCTCTAGTTCAGTTTGGATCCTGCCTCCTATCAGGGCAGAGAATTCAGAAATGTGGACAATGTAAGGCTCTGTTTAGAGTTTTCAACATGAAAAAGGACACGAGGCTTTAATGAATACAGGTTTTGTACAGGAAAATGTTGTTTTCATTGTACACCATGGTATCTGGTTGTATGAGACTATTTAAAACACATCAAATCTCAAATGTGACTTACGAGAAAAAATAAAAAGATTTTAAAAAATGGTGATGTGATAAAAAGAATTAACCTATTAATATTTTCTACTGAATTTCCTAGGCAGACTAGGATCTTAAATTATTAATTATCATAATAATATCATGCATATAATGAAATATTGGTCAACAGAACATTAATAAAAAATGGCATAGTTAATACTTTGTGTCTTTGGATTTATGTTGGAATTCTAGTATATTTTCATGAAGGAAAGAAAGAAACCTTACCAAAAGGAGTCTAGATTTGTTCAGAGAGGTAATCGCCAGGCCCTTGTAATACCTAGTTTGGGAAGAATCTTTTTTTTTTTTTTTGGCCTGGGGAGTCATGGGTCACTCTAGAGAGTCTAACAATATGATTTACTATTATGACATACACACATTTGGGTGGGGATGTTCCCATGTCAAAAAGGCTAACAATGTGATTTAAGGTGGGGCTTTAGGTCATGACCAGGAGATTGAAATTAATCACATGGGAAGTTATCAAAGAGTCAGACTTATATAATGATGCCTATGGAATGGAGCCACAAAAACTACTCTGAATACCAGGTCTCTGTACAATGTCATACTTTAATCCTGGGGAAATAACATGTCTGGAGTCTATGGGAAGAGTATGATGAAAACTTCACTCATACACAGTTCTTCTCTGGACTCTGTGCTATAGGATTTCCCTATAGGAAAATTGTAATACACATCTTTTCCTGTAACCATGAAAGTAAAACCATTCAGTGAGTTTTGATTCTTTCTACTTCAAATATAGCACTAGTCCCTCTATAAAAATAAAGCAAAGTTGTGTGAATCAGTCAATGTGAAGGTAGTGCTGGGAAACTACAAATTTTAGTTGGTATAAAGTGATTGCAGTCTTGTATAAACTGTCTCTCTGAACTTTGTAGTTGGTTAAATTCATGACATTCATAAATATCAAATACCTGGGAGTGTTAAAATCTTCAAAGTATTTCTGCACAAGAATTTTATAACATGCATACCTAATCTTATACCAAATTAACATGGACAATAACTTGGTTTTGTGAAATAAGAAAAGGACAGACAAGCCATGCATGGTGGTGCACACCCACAATCCCAGCAACACAGGAAGCTGAGACAGGAGAATCTCCAGTTCCAGGCAGCCTCAGCAACTTAGGAGATCCTGTCTCAAAATAAAAAATGAAAAGTGCTGGGAAAGTAGCTCAGTGGTAGAGTACCCCCAGGTTCAATGCCTAGTAGTACACATATACACACAAGGCAGAGTGGTGTGGTGTAGAAAGGAATCTGAAAGCCCACACCAGTCATCTATAAAAAGGTGATACTCCAAATGAAAAAAATCAAAGGTGGCAAGAATTACCAGGTGTGAAACAAAAGTGTGAGGGGCTATGCCCTGGTTGGTTCTACCAGCAACTACTGCACTCTTCGAAAACATAGTGTCAAAAATTTAGGATGGAATTATGCCTTTATAACCATTTTCAAACCGAAGACTACAAACCTTTAGGAAGCTATGAAATAAATTTAAAACCTTATAGTAAGGATTTAGAAAAAAGGACTAGAATAGAAACTATCAGAGCTTCGTGACAAGAAATGTGTTATTACATGAAATGCCTTCTGAAGTCTCCCAGGTACAGCTACACAAAGAGAAAACATCCATCATAGATATGGTGAAAGATGTATTTCTCATGCTCATAAAACACTAAAAACTTTGGTCAGGATAGTACCAAGTCCTGAATTAAGTGTTTCAAATTGAATGTTAACTTCCAATGACAAATCTTGGAAAACATTAACAGGTAAATAGGTAACTACTGATACACATGGGAATGCAGATATATTTAATATACTGTCACTTAGAGATAGAAGTTTTATGAGTAGAAGGAAGCATCTCTTTCAGGAAGTTTATGTTTTGAGAGAGCAGTTTACCAATTCCTTCCAGGGTATAAGTTCACCAGTTCAAAATACAAAATTATATCCCTTATATAATAAAGGAAAAATTGTGTGAAATCTATGTTCTTTAACATATTAACAACTACATTTGTTTAAAATATTGATGAAAAAATATATATAAATATATATTGTGTATTTAAGAAATATAGGCAGCATTCAGCCATGTCCATCAGCTCCCTTTCATGCACAAGGAAGGCAAAATCTGGGTGCAGCGATGGGCCTTTGAGTTTGGAGAAGACAAAGGGCTGCAGAGAGAAAATCATTCAAAGGAGAAAGGTAGCCTGAAAGTTGGCTGTTGTCTGAGACCTCAGGAAATGAAGACTTCTTTTCCCTTGATTGGGGAGCTGCCTCAGAGGTGGATATCAGGAAGGATTTCTTCCTATAAATGAGCTATGGAAGGCTCAGGAAAAGTCAGAGTAAAGGCACATTACTCAGTGAGGTAACCTTGACTAAAAGAATGATGAGAAGTTTTCCTGGGAAGTAGGTCAAATGCACATAGTACAACACAATCATGTCGAGGAAAACCAAGGAGGCTGAAATTGAATTAGCAGCCATTCAAAGATTGAAAAGATCTTTGAAAAAAGAAAATAAAGAAAAACCTCCCCCAACAGTTCTGATTCATTTAGTTTATGTATCACTCATTAGCTATTCTGATGACTCCTAGAGACAGTGAAGTCCCCCCATCCCTTAATTCATTCATTGGGTTAAGTGTTTGCCAAGACCTGCAATACACCAGAACTACTCTACAAAGTGAGGATACAGGTATAAACAAAAGAGACAAACTCCCCCTTTCTTGAGATTATACAGCAAAAGGGAGAGATGGGAAAACAAAAATTCAGATGCTCCACAACTTAAAATGGTATTATACCTTGATAAGCCCATGATTAAGTTAAAAAATGCATTTAATATACTTATCTAACTCAACACCAGAGCTTAGCCTAGCCGACCTTAAACATCCTCACAACAACCTACATTAATCTATATCTGGGAAAAATCATCTAACACAAAACTTAGTTCATCAAATACTATCTCACATCCTTTACCCAATATAGTACTGTACAGTATCAGATGTTTACTCTCTTGGTGGGATGGATGACCCGGACCTGATTGCTGCTGCCCACCATCTTAAGACAGTAAAACAGATGGAAGAGTCAAGTACAAGCACACATTTGCTTGCTTCATACCTGAATTCCCTTCTCTTTGGGTAGCTGTCTTCATCATCCAAAACTTCTCTTTCCTTATCAAATGGAATGCATCTTGTTTGAATGGTCGGGAACATGCAGAGACACTCAGGATTAAAGCACATGCTAGGTAACAGCTAGATAAAATTTACTAGGAATTGAGGTTCTCGTTGCATACTCAAACTTGAACACCCAAGGATTCAAAACCACTCCTGGGAGCTGAAACGCCATCAGAGAGGGGAACTAAACTCACCCACTGAGAGCAGGTTCCTGAAGTTTTCCAGCATCACATCTTGGTAGAGCTTCCACTGGGCAGAGTCTAGCAGCTCCAGCTCTTCCCCACTGAAGACCACAGCCACGTCCTTAAACGTCACCATCTCCTATAACATCAAACACACTTGACCTCAATCTTATCAATGTTTACTGGGAGGCAGAGAGGATGGGTGGGAAACTGTTCTGGATTTTGAAACTTGGTCATCTCAAATTTCCCTCTCATGCCATCTGTACCCCCACAATGACACACATAGATTTTCCTGGGATTCACCAGAAGCGCAGTGATGAAAAAGTCCCGCACCTTTACTTCAAACACTCAAGAGTACTATTAAGGAGTTACCATCTAGTGTGCAACTGTGCCCAGTTTTGCTGTTTAAGCAACACTTAAACACAGAATGACACAGCCATGGGGACCATAGAGTGCAGCTCTTCCTGGGTAAAAACCTTCAAGAATATTTGTGTGGAGTAGCAGAGACAGCCTATGGTGCAGTTTTTGGATGCTTTATCCATAAAACAGCTAACAAGGTACATGTCCAAATGCCTTTTCAAAACTGAGCTTAAATTATGCTGCTGAAACAAAAAAAAACCCCACCTGATATACTGTTTTCAATATTGATTTTGGGGGAACAGTCTCTATGTAGGAAAGTCGTCACTACACTGTTGCTTAAAAAAGTCAAATGCCTAAATCAATTAAATGTGTATAAGCACGATACACCATAAAAGATGAACATCGTGTAACATTATGAACATTACAGTGTATAAAATAGCACAATTAAACTTACAGTAATCCTAAATTACACAATTAAAACTGCCTGTAATCCTAGCAACCTGGGAGACTGAGACAGGAAGACAGCAAGTTCAGGCCTCTCTTAGCAATTTACTGATATTTTCTCTCAAAATAAAAAGTAAAAAGGTTAGGGATTGTAGCTCAGAGGAAGAGTGTCCTTGCATACTATCCCCAGTAACAGGAAAAAATACTGTGATTTACAATTCAAGGTGTATCGACAGTAGGAATACAATTGTGTATTCATATGAAGAAGAATACACAAAGACAAAAATGGTAAATATGTGAGCAAGGAAGTACCAAGTGCAATAATTATCTACTCAAACAAGTTCTTCTACTCTATAAAGTAAATAATATAAAATAAAACAAGAATTAAAAACAAGGTCAACTCAGAGTGAACAAAGGAAGCCTATGGCCAACAAATGTCTTCAAAAAAGAAAACCTGACAATATGAGTTGCAGGATGGAAGTTTTACAGTGAGAAAAACAAGCCTTACTCACATTGAATGTGGTCATTTTCCCTCCTCCTCATGGAATAGGCAGAGTCCTAAGGCACGTCGATATCAGGAGAGCAGAACTGTGCCTAGAAAGTGCCACAGAAGGCAGAAAACAAGACATGAAAGGGTGCCAGGGTGCTGCTCACCAACACATTCCGGTTCAGTGGAGTAGTGCGTGAATGCTCTCAGCAGCATTATTCATAAAGCAAAACCAAAATCAACCAAAATGCCCTCCTGTGGATAAATGGATAAACAAATCAGGGCATACACATACAAGGGCATGTTACTCTGAAACTAAAAAGGACCAGGTACTGACGTATATAATACAGATGAATTTGAGGACATTAAACTAAGTGAAAGAAGCCAGTAATGAAGGAGCACATATAGTATGATTCTATGAAATATCTAGAATGGGCAAATGAATTATAGAAAAGGTAGATTAGAGGTTGCTGCAGATTTGGGGTGAGAATAAGGTTTAACTATAAGTGGCACATACCATATAACTGAGGAAAGAAAACAATCTCAACTAAGTTAGATGATGGTTATTCTACTAACTTCAGGTTCTACTAACCTAAGTACCTTAGGATCACTGAATTGTACAACTTGAAATGGTGATATATAAAATATAATTTAAAAAGTTGGAAAATAATTATTAATCTACATGTTTTTTAAATCAGCTGAATTCAGAGTCCACATTGATTGAATATACTTGAATGAATGAATTAAAAACGGGGAGAGGAGAAGTTTTCTTTACAACAGAATATCCACTAATAAAATATCTCCCCAAAAGTAACTTTATGACTATTTTTTCCCTTTTTTTGGTACTTGGGATTGAATCCTGGGTGTTAAACCACTGAGATACATCCCGTTCTTTTTGAGAGTGTCTCACTAAGTTGTTTAGGGCTTCACTAAGTGCTGAGGCTGGCCCCAACCTTATGACACTCCTGTCTCAGCCTCCCAAGTCATTGGGAAGACAGATGTTTGTCAGCACACCCAGCTCTTAAGATTGTTTTTGTAAAGGGAACTTTATTGTGGAAAAATCTGATAGATATTATTTGGCCAAGTAAACCAAATTTAGATTACCAATACGGGAAAAAAACGAATATCACTCAGTTCCTGGCATGCCACAATAAAAAGGACCCTTCACCACTTCTGTAGCATCCCTGCCAAAAAATGCATAATCTGAACCTAAAGAGAAAACATGTTAGACACTACAATGAACACCTTTGTCCAAAATAATCTGCCTATATTTTTCAGTTATGTGAAGAAAAAAAAGACAAAACCTATCCAATCTTTCCAGTTTCAAGAGCATAAAAACATGGCAACTAAAGTCAATACAGTAAACTTTGACCTGAGGGAAAACAGTTCTAAGGACTTTATATGAAAAACAGAACAGATTTAAATATGAGACTGCCAATTAGACAACATGCAGTTATATAGCACAATCTAATAGATAACAGAAGTAATTATTTGTAGTCTTTTAATTGATATTAATATTCCATAGATAACATTATCAAGTATAGTATTTAAAATTATCTAGCATGTTATGTGAAACCCTATAACTTGATCTTCCCAAATGCCTCTTATCAAAGCATTGACGAATCCTAGACTGTGGGCTTCCTTGCTGGAGAAGGCTAAAAAAAAAGCACTATCTCTAGAATTCATAGTGACTTTATTTGGCTGAGGAGGATAAACAAACCAAACAGACAAAACGTGGTAAGTTTTCCCAACAGACGAGAGGTGCTCTTATGGTTTTCCACAAATTTCTATATATTTAAAATGATATAAAATTTCTTAAATTTTAGTAAAGTCAAAAGAGTAGTAAGAAAAAGAATAAAAAGAGTAAAAATGAGCATGATAATGTAGCAATTTGCTAGTTTACTCTCTTGGAGGTGTTTGGAAATTTCCAGGTAAAACAGATAAAAAGGAAAACAAAAAATATGATAACATTTTTCATAAATAACTACTAATGCACACAAGGAACCACTAAAGAAAATGCTTTCAAAGTTTAACAGTCACTATCCTATGCTGGATTCACAGGCAGTGAAAAGGTTTTTCCTCAAACAGGCATGGTGGCAAACACATAGGAAGATCACAAGTTCAAAGCCAGTCCCTGCAGTTCAGCCAGGCATTAAGCAAGTAGGCCAGACTCTGTATCAAAATAAAAAATAAAATGGACTAAGGATGTGGCTCAGTGGTTAAGCATCCTGGGTTCAATCCCTGGAACCAGAAACAAAAAAAAAACAAAACTTTTTCCTCCTAATGTTTCTGAATGCTCCACAATGATATGACTCCATAAGTGTGTGAAACATTAGCGATAAACTAAGGGAAAAGAGGGTGTTATTAAAAATTCAAGAAAAATCCATGAGCCTTGCTCTCACAGTCTCTACTATCAAGTCCCAACTTATTCTCTCTAATTAATTCCAAAAGTTCTATGGCTCGATGAGAATGTATCACAGAGGTTATGAACTCAGGCTGTAAACCAGGCCTGCCTAAGTTCCAACCCTCACTTCCATTCTTCCTGGTTGCGTAGGATCAAGTAATAAATACTCCCTGCACTTCAATCTCCTCATATTTAAATAAGAAAAAAAATGTACCTCTCCACAGAGCCATAGGGTGGCCCTACATGTATTTATTTGTCTAGAGTCCTTAAAATAAAGTCAGCAATTAAGGTCAAAATTCAGGCCAGAGCACATGTCCTATAATAGACTTGCAAATCCCTGTAAGAGAAAAAAGTCAGGTCGCACTCACCAGGAGCTTTGCTGCCAGCTGTCAAGAAGTCGACTACCTCTGCCTCCACTCAGGCAGGGAGAAAAGCCTGCTGTTAAATAAAAAAAAGTTCAATCACGGCCTCCCTCTGCTCAAGTTGGAGACAACCCCACCCTTCCTAAGAGAGAAGAAAGTAGGCACCAGAATGAACGGGTCCTGCAGAGCCAGACAGCAGCCAGAACCCCCGCAGCAGGAGCTCTCGGACGCCAGCCCGGGCCTCCCGCCCATTCAGGGACGAGAAAAGCCACCATTCAGTAGGAGCTCGTGACTGTTTTAAGTCTTTGCTTTGAAGGCCCTCTTGCAATTCCAAACCATGCTATTAGGACGGTTAATTCTAAAGAAAACAATGAGCCCCCCCCCCCCCGAGATCGGGTAAGTCCCCAACGTGGGCCACCCGAGGAAGTGGCCGCGCGAGCGGTGGAGGGGGGCGGATTAGGCGAGCCGAGAGCCCCGGAAACCCTCAAACCAGGCGACACACAGCCTGACCAGGCCACGAACCCGGGGACTCCACCACAGAGAGCCCCAAACGCGAGCAGGCTCCGCGGGGAAAACGGAAACTGCGGCCGTCACCGCCCCAAAGCCCTGCTCTCCGCCGAGGCTTCCTTTCCCCTAAACCGAAGGCAGGTCCTGGAGGGTGCCGGGGGTGGGGGCCAGGAAATTCGGAAGGGCTCCCAAGACCCAAGAAACTAATCCTAACTACCACGGAAAAAAGACAGCAACTTCCCACTCAAGGAGCAGAAGCTTCTATAACTCAGCCCACCTTCCCGAAAACACTTCCCGGAATTCACGGCATTCGCCCTTGTAGGCAGAGACACCCGCAGGCCACAGATCGTGTGGACTACATTTCCCAGAATTCCCAGGACCCGCCTGTCGGAGCGGAAGTACATGCGTGTCCAGGAGCGTCTGAACTACATTTCCCAGAATACTTAAAGGAGCCGTTTCCTCTTCTGCTAACTTGGCTGCTATACTGTTCTGAGCTCATGGGAATTGATGTGAACTGAGCTCAGTGCTCATGTTTTCCCTCTTCCTCAAAAAAAAATTATTCCATGGACGGAGTAAATACCTTCAAGGCTTGCAGGGTTATTAAAACAAATTTGATATGATCTTCAAGGAATTGACAGGGAATGTCTATGGGGACTCAGTAAAGGACTGAAAAGGTGTTTACCATAATTTACAGAGTGAGCGAGATAGCCTGGTATCTAAAAGTAGTTTTTAACATACATTTTCTGTATTGTAAATGAAATAGGAAACCTTTTGGTTTTCAAAGGTCGTTATTACATGTTGGAAATACACGCCCTTAAGTCCTGAGCAAGAGATACTGAACAATTATTTGCAATAACTTGGGCTTTACCTCTGCTCGGATAATGAGGCGTGGCTCCAGGAGTAAGCCTTACCCGGTGGAGTTGAGTATACTCACCTGTTCATTTGTAATCCTACCTTTGCCCCCCCCTTTTTTTTGGATAGAATATTCTAAGCAGTAGCATCCCCCAATGAAAGCCATCTCCAGAACATACATGGGGCGCACTCTCTCGCTGTCTCTCATCAGCCTCTCCTCTTGCCCCACCCCCATGGGAGCCTGAGGCCTGGAGCCTGGGAAGCCATCCTGAAGTTTATAAAAATATATTCCATGTCTGCATGGTATTTTGTGTCACCCCAAATTTACATGAATGACTTTCATTCAGTTGCCCGTGCTGGACAGGGGCAGCAATTACATTTTTGATAAATTACCCAAATATTTTGCCCAATTCTATTGGATTTTCCCATCATTTTTCCCTCATCGTTTAAGTATTATTCATATACTCATGATTCTCTTTTCTTGCTAATATTTTCTGCCAGTTTATTTTTCTGATTGTTTCTCTTTTTTGCCATGAAAAGAAAATTTTTAAGGCTATGACTTTTTTTTAGCTGTATTTTATATATTATTTTTATGTGGTGCTGAGGATCTAACTCAGTGCCTTACACATGCTAGAGAAGCACTCACTGAGCCACAATCCCAGCCCATGGAAAATATTTTTAACATAATGTTTAGAAAATATGTTGAGAGGCTGGGGATGTAGCTCAGGGGTAGCATTCTTTCCTAGCATACATCAGGCTCTGGGTTCATTCCCCATTACAAAAGAAAAAAAGAAAAATAATATTTTTTATATGTAACTCACAAAATTAGCTTTTTTAAAATGTGTACAACAGAAGTGACATTGCTACATTCACAGCGTTGTGAAAATAACCTTCTTCTACAACCTTTCTAGAGGAGTTGGGACCATCAGCCCCACTCTCCTCTGACATCTAGGAAGTGGCAGAGAGGCCACAAATGGAGCTCAGTCAAAGGGTAAATGCCATTAGCCACACGTACATAGTGAAATTTCCATAAAATCCCTTTGAGTGTTCAAAGTTGGTGAACACAACGCTACACCTTGATAGGTGCTGGGAGGGCGATGCAAGGGCAGAGAAACTGCACTGCCTCCCCCACCCCCAGGTGCCTCGCCCTATGCACCTCTTTCTTGTGACTCAAAAGAGTTTTATCTGTAGTTATAGATTGGCAAGAGAAAGGTCTTTTCCTGAGTTCTGCAAATCATTCTAGGAAATGATTGCACCCAAGGAGCGAGCTAGTCAGTCAGAACTAAAAGAGGCCTGGGACCTCAAGTTTGGACTTGATTAGGAGCAATCATATGAAAATGAGCCCTTAATCTGTGGGATCTGATGCTTAGCATCAGAAATGAAATGAATCATTAGACTGGACCTAAATCTGGAACTCACTGTGGAGTCTGGCTCCCAATCTTTGTCACTAGGCTGCTGCTAGGACCCACACATCTTGCCCGTGACATGCCCAGCCAAGATCAGCTGTGTTCCCCCATGAGTAGTGAGCTGACTGTGAAGTATAAGAAAAAAATCACATGACACAGAAATAATTCTGGAATTGAGGGTGGGATGGTTCTGCGACCTTAAGGGTCCTGCTTCCACTCTAGAAGGAGAGGACAAGTGAGCCCATTTTGGTTTATTTATAACAGGGACATCAAAGGCAGGGATGAGGCCTCAAGGGTGGAGTCTTGCTTCCTGGTGTCTTGTGGTCAGCAGATTGATTGACATCTTGGCAAGTCACACCCGTCTCAGGTGCTGTGGGGGATCTTAGGCAGAGCTTGAGGGGGAGGTTCACCTGCATCGGGCAATCAATCCCTGAGGGGGTACTGCCCCCTACCAGCACGGGCAGCCAAACTAGAGGTCGCTGGAGTGAATTTCCTAAGGTATCAAATGAAACACAGACACGCAGTTTACCTTTAAATCAAGCCCCGGGATGGCTCCTCTGCCCTCGGCCTCAAGCTCCCCAAATGGGA